CTGTGTAAACGTCAAATAACTTAAACATGTTATTGTTTGGCCTTTTTCAGTGCTTTAGTTGTGTTTTATTTGTTGGTGAGTAAATCGGTTTGGCTGAGATTAAAGTTATTCGATTAAATTAGATTAAAACTTTATTAATCCCTCGGGAGGATTCCTCCGGGTTCTCACACAGCTGAATAAACTGCTGTCACACAGCAGTTTATTCGACCATCTACACCAGCGTCCGGTTATATTTTAGACAGCAAGGAGCAGACGGCAGGTGACGTAATTCTGAAGGCTAGAGCGTCCAATTTCACAATCGCTCATTTCCGGTCTACCTGGCTTTCGGAGGACCCGGCCCACTTAGACCACAAAGGCCGGGTCCTCAGGTGGACGCAGCCTCTGAATTTGGACACCCCCGGCCTGTTTGATAATAACGGTATTTTATCCGATAAATAAACACCGTAAGATTCAAGTTTTTTGTATATATATATATGTACATGAATTTGGACACCCCCGGCCTGTTTGATAATAACGGTATTTTATCCGATAAATAAACACCGTAAGATTCAAGTTTTATATATATATATATATGTACATGTATGTACACACACACACACACAGTGCTGGATCTGTTGGCTTTGTTCCTATCTCACACTAGTCAGACTCCGTGGGTGGAGGAAAGTGTGAGAAGAGGAGAGAATGAGTCGGACTCGGCCCTGAGGCAGTGGACCTCAGCTCACTGTGGGATAGACCGCCACAGAGAATTCACACTCACACATGTGCACGCGCACATACATACACATGCATGCCCACTAAAACATTTAATCAGGAAGTCAAAGTATTTCCAAACGGTTGCCCCCCTCACGCCCACATTTTCCTCGTTTAGAAATACCTTCGAGCAAACGCGCTAACTGACTGCTGCTCATCTCACTGCAGTCGGCAGAATCTCAGACTCTCACAATGGCTCCATGCACAAACTGAAGCTGTCCTCTCCAGCCAAGCGCTAAGGCTGACAGAGCAGGAAGATTTTTTTTTTTTGAGGTTACATTTCACAGCACAGTAAAGAACAGCAAGTATTTCTGAAAGCAGACGGTTCTCATTTGACCTTTCAGTGGCAAATATGGGTTATGTGCAGAAAATATGTAAGACCTCAGCGCTTGAAAGTGTCACTTGGGAAGCCTTCGTATTCAAGAGACTAAATCCCAGCCTTTGTCAAGCATTCCAGCATTTATACGGAGGTGTTTAGATGAATTATACATAGTGTGCTCTTCACAAGACAATTTACTGTTACCTTAGTGAACTCTGAGTTCTGTAAGTTGGCCTCAGGACACCATCGCCCTCCTAAAGCAGTCAGCATGGCACAGTCCTCTTCCTCTTTGGTGCCTGGCTGGGATGGAGGATAAACTGTTGCAGTGGGGAAGTCTTCGATGTCTGCTCCACTGCAGCTGGGAGTCCGCAACTGGAGACCTCGCAGGAAAAGGTGACATGCTTCCAGGTCGGCTTCCCAGATTCGCTCCAAGCTGGGAGACCCATAACTAGCAAGGGAAGGAGACAAGTATGTTATGCATTCTGATAGAGAACTTGATGTTTGCTCTCAGTGCAAGTTTGAGATCAGTATTTAAATCATAAAAGTCCAAGTGGTCAGAACAGGCTTTAGCAGCAGAGCTATCTGGAGCTGTCTGCATGCTGAAGGAAAACTAACATCAGGTATGTTCTTTTATGTTATTCAGTGATGTGAAATTTTAAAAATGTACTACAACATATAGCAAATAGTTGAACTGTAGCATGTAATCAAATACATAAATACAATCTTATATGTTAAGCTATTAAATAAAATGTAGTGTGCTATAAAAGAATGTTAAAATAATACATTGATGCACATCACTCGCGTCACCGCAGAGGCATGTGTCAAACATAAGGCCCAGGGGCTAAAATCCACCCTGCAAACACTCATAAATTTTGGACTTGTCGCTTTAACTTTTTTAAAGGTTTTATGGCTTTTTCTACTGATAAGGACCTTTTTTTCAGCACTACAGAAACTTCTTGTTTTTACAATTTTACACATTTATTTCTTACAATTTATGCCCCAAAAAGTAAAAAGAAAACAGATTTCTTTCATTTAAAAGAGCAGCATCTCTTTGTTATGCAGCAATACTGATATGTACTTTTGAAATTGCACTGCTTTTTTCTAATACTAACATATCTCAGGGATTAAGCGTGCAGTTAAACTTCTTTACACTGACAGAAAGGGGGCATGTCACTGGTCTGGCGCACTTAAGGTCATACTGGGCTGTATTTGGCCCACATTGTCCAGTAAGTTTGACATTCCTATTATACAGGTACAGCAGCATCTCTTCAAATAAAGCACATAAACCTCTGAGTGACAGATGAGAAGTGAATCATTCAAAGAATAAAATTCCATTCACAAAATGTAACAAGAGCGATATTCCTCCTGAAAGGATGCCCTTTACTCAAAAGAGGGTGTGGATGCGTTCGTTTCTCCTGGGGTCACTGAGTACGAGTTCACTGGGAGGGCAAGGAGATTGTTTTATCTACCTATTGAGTTATGATCAGTCAGCCTTCTTCACTCCCTTTTCCCCGACCTTTGCAGGATCTCAGATCCCAGCAGAAACTAATTAAAGCAGGTAAAAATGGATCGTATATACTTAAAAATGAGTTACACCGTTACTGACTTTTATCTCATTGTTCCATTATTTAGGTTAAGCTGATCACAAAAAACAAGCAAAGGTAAATGTCACGACAAGCAGAGGTTTCTATATATATAAACTTGGGGAAAATGCCCAAAATGACACCACACTTCATCCAGATTACCTCATACACTACATCAAAACAATCAAATACACTTTTTATCAAGAAAACCAGACACACATACAGAGATTCCTTGATTGAGAGACGCTGCCTCTGTGAGGATTGAAGCATTGATCTTTTTATTTTCAGAAACCATTTTCCATTTCCTTTAAATAAAATGCTCCTTCACTGAGTCACAATTGAGGCCTTCTGACCTTTAAAATCTTCTTGTTTATTGACCTTCTCCTTTCAGCAACCTTTAGATAACTAAACATTCACAAATGACCGTGATCTCTGAGCCTTTAATAGATTTTAGGGCTTTTAGACCAAACACAAAAGGCAACAGTTTCCACACTAACTAACACCAACTTTGTTTTTGTGAATCCATGTCATGTAGAAAAATCAAACTAAAGCTGACAGGATGCAGGGAAGACGATGATGGCTTTATAGGAGACTTATCAAATCTCTTAAAGGAAGAAATGTCCTCTGTCTGTCTTCACATGCCAAATTCCAACCTAGGAGGAAATACTCTGTCACAGACATAAACTCAAAATGATTGACTCACAATGGTAGAAAATACAGCAATGTCATTTGCTGAACTCACATGCAAACCCTTATAAAATAGTATTTTCACCTGAAAAGTGCACAGTGGCTCATTCTCCGTGATATATAAACAAACTCAAAGGCAAAATGCACCCAGATGACATTGTTTAATCTCTCCCTCTGTTCATTCTTCTCTCTCTCAGGGTTGAATCACCCGCCCAAAAAAAATCCCCAAAATTGAATGCCACTTGTTTTCCAGCCCATCTCCTGCCTGAAAGGGCTGCCAACCTCTGTACCCTGCCAACGCACGCCTCTCAGTCGTTCTCTAACCTTCATTTGGCAGACAGACAATAGAAAAATTGCTCAGCCCAGTCCCCCACCTCCACCCCCATCACCAATTCGCTGCCTCTGAATTCTGCTACGGTGGGGCTGCACCAAATGAGCCGTGCCATTGTTTTTTGTCTCTTCCGAAGTGGAGAGGAACACATGCAACACACAGATATGGGTGAGCACACATGTGTTAACTTACATGCCCATAAATCACTCTCTGTGGGGATAAAAATCATAAATTCTTCTAAAAATGTCAAAGCTGGCCACATCGATCAAAGCGGCTTCTCTTCAGTGTCAACCACAATTCATTACAAACAACTGGCGCTGGCATTAGGGCTCTGTCTGCTGAAAATTCAGACAACATGTTAGCGCCTAAGCATCCCTGTGATGGTGGCGTCCTGGTGCCCGCTGGTATGAACTCGTCGCCCACGGGGTTAATTGGTGGCAGCCGCTCCGACTGCCATCTGACAGCGGCAGGGTGTGGGCGTGCTGTGCTGCTGATGGCCCAGTAATAAGGAGGAGAAACAGACAGGCACACTCTCTTTCTATAGTATCTTCGCTTCCCTGTGGGACTACTGACTGGCAGGACTCCTGTTTCCCCTCAAGGCATTCAATCCAGACTGCTGCTGAGGAAGGGTTATAAATCTGCTGGAACTTTTAAACGACGGGGCAGTGACCAGGTCCTGCAGGTACCAGCGGGTTCAGTTAGACGTCTCAAGAGAGAAGAGGCACATTATGGGTTCACATCCAGTCTGACCATCATTCAAAAACTTCCCAGGGCTGAAAAGTGAAGCCAACAACCAAGTGCCAAAAGCTGCATATCCTGAAATGGCCACTCGATGCTGGCTCCAAAAGCAAGTCAATCCCCTTGACTCCCGTGTTAAAATGTCCAACTTCACAGCAGAAATAACCTTATTTACAGCCAGGAAAAAAAAACAAGTTTTATTTTGTTTTGTCCCTATAGGTTTTGTGAATTTAACTCAACGTTAAATAATATTAAAACTTAATGTTATGAATTATATTACATGCTTTGACTACCAAAGCAGTGAGCTGTAACTGGTAGCTGTCTACTAGGTGCTACCTCAGCCAATGCAAGTCACTGAACTGGACCTTTTGACCATTTTTTTAAATCCTTTTTTTGTTTTGTTTTTTATTTATCTTTCATTTAACCAGTAAAGTTGGACTTTAAGAGATTTAAAAATCTCTTTTACAAAAGTTTCCTGGCTAAGAAAGCCAACAGCTAGCATACAAACTGGAAAAGCATAAACAGACCTGAAGAAAATAAAGAATTAAGTACAGAAACATAACATAAAAAACAACACCTCCTTCACCATATTCTTTATGAGTGTTGTTTGAGGAGTAGGTCATTTTTAGTGCACTACTAACTGACATTAGTAATTGGCCAGTCTGTCAGTATCAGCAAATTTATAATGGACGGTAAATGAAAATTTAACAAGCAAAGAAGAGACCGGAGGAACGCATTTGAATTACGTTATGAGTGTTGAAATTACATAGTTTGTCCACCAGAGGGCGTTGTATGATTCACCCAACACAAATGTTTGGAACGGCACAAACACAAGAGCCAGCTAATCGGAGTCCAGTGTACGCTACACAACCTGCTGTGACAATAAAACAGGATTATTTTTAAACTGCAGTGTCATATAATCTTAGTAAGAAATCATAAATGACTACATATAACAACTAACAAATGTTGAAGAAATCTATTTATCTGTCAAGTGTTTGAAGGATATATAAGCCTGTATACTATACAGTATATTTTTAAATTGCCAAATATCCTCATCCAACTTAATAAAAATCTAATATTGACAATTAACACGGTTTGTTGTGCTTTATTAACTGTAGATATGTCACCAGAACTGCCATTTACAATACCTTTAATACCAAGAGGACTTGTTTTATTTTTTTTAGTATTATTGGTACCATAGGCAGTGTATGTACTGCAAATCTTCCATAAATGGGCTACAACCCTTTGCAGTGTCTGGGCAATGCACCCATGTGGTCTATGAATTCAGCACGCTAACTAAGTTAGGTGCTTTAGCTGGTAAGTTATAACTTCACCCTCTTGTAAAAATACAGTCACTTCTCCCTCTGAAAATATTAACATGACTTAAGTCAAAATGATAAATTTGACTTTTAAAAAAGGGAGTCCAAAACACGTGAGTCGGAGTGGCGGAGACCATCTTTTATATACAGTCTATGGTTATCAGGTTCAGAGCATGAAATATTTTCTCAGATTTTGAGTCATAGTTCATTGTTACATAAAAATCATATTCTGGGTAAAATGAACACCTTTTTTGGTTGTTTTAGAAAAGTGAGAGAAAGGAAATATAATCATTGATGCATTTTTGTTTTTTGAGGAAACCTAAAAGCTATAAAATAAGACTTCACACAATAGAAAGGAAAGGAGATGTGATAATGTTTCGCCTTAACATTAGCCTCACAAAGAACACCAGCTGTGGAGAGGTGTTAATAATATAGCGATGGAGGTGTGATAGATGGAGGACTGGGAGGGGTTTGTTTGGTGGATGACTAGAGGAGGTTTTTACAGGAGCCAGATGGGCAAATCCAGCTTAAGTGTTCCAAACACTTTTTAAAAAAATGTGGATTCAAGAATTTGTATATTAAAAGTAAGAGAGGAGCACATTTTATCCCAGTTTTTTCTCATTTAGATTTTCATACAGCATCTTCAATTTAACTATACATCTCAGCATTTAATGGCTTCTGTGCCAGTATCCGTCGCGTATGATATATGCCGCTCAAATCTCTACAGGAGAATGAATATATAAATGAGGGACAAAAACGAGAAGCATTTCCTAATGAAACATCTGCATAATGTATTAAACAACTGTGTGGTGCTGCTAATCTGAATAAAATGTTTTTTATTCTGATGACACACTTACAGCATCTGCGCTGTTCTAACATCCTGTTCTAGTCTTTAGCAAGGAAAAGATAATTGGTTTTTTCAACACCATCCGTCTCCACGGAGACCAGACATCTCAGCACACTAATCTGCCTCTCTCCACCCTTCTCCCCTCCTCCTCTCCTCACTTCTCATCACCACGGTACTCTATCAATGGTAATGTACATTAGAGCTGACTGATAACATTTACAGTGGATGATGAGTGCATGTGTGCATCTGTGTGTGTGTGTGTGTGTGTGTGCGTGCGTGCGTGGGTTAGTGGTGTATGCACATGTGGGGAAAACGGCACATTCAATCAAGGCAAATATGTGTCACTGTGCCAAGCGGGAGCTGGTGGAAGGGACTGGTGTACGCCATAAATCAGAGCTATATTTGTGAATTTATCTAGACCGCCTCTGGTCATGGAGGCCGATCTAAGGCTGAAGAGCCAATCATTTAATATAGAATGTGATGGCCGAGAAAATTAGTTTACAGTCACCCAAGAAGGTGTCCTTGAATGGAAATTCTCTTTTTTCAGAGTGATGTGACTATATCATTGACCCGGCTCTGAAAATTGAAGCCAGTGTGGAAGTCATGGAGTTAAATAAGTAGTTAGGAAGAGGGATGTAAGGATGCATGCACAAGTGTCTCAGATCTGCACTCTTTCTAATGGCAGGAAGGGGGTGACTCTTCAATAGTAAAGAAGTCTTTGGGGGAAAAGTCCAAGTAGGGCAACTTGTACTTCTTGTGATGTACAATTCACTTTCATACAACCGAGCAGCATCCTCTGTGTCTCAGTCGGATTCACCCCTCGCTTATGAAAAATAACACCAAACATGAGGCTTCGAAGCAATTCACTGATCAGTGTCTGAGGTCATAGTGTCTACATCCTCCCTTTGCAGAGTCTGTGGGGGAAATACTTATGATTTACAGTATGTAATCATCTGCCCTCGTAGCAAAGGAACTATATACTGTGTTCAAACAGGAACACAGTATATAGCAGCTCCACTGCAAACCAGTTTTACTGGTAATAGTAGTTAATGATGGTTTCCTCGGGGAGCAGTACTAAGCTTTCAGGATTTGTAATCTCAGATGGTTTGCGTAAAAGAAAATTAAAAGGAGATTTTAGACTTAAACATTTTATAGATGTTTTTATAGCTGTATAATGGGGCACACGTGTGAAGAAAATTTTAGTTGCTGTGAGGAGCAGCACTCAGCCTGTGGAAAAGGTTTTATATTGTTATAACATTTTCTGTAGCCCACTGAAGAACTTTAATATATAACCTTGTCAGTTTCATCAGGGTTATCTCAGGTTAAGCTCGGAGACTTTCCTAACAGAAGGCCTGTCGGTGACAGACAGAGAAGGTCTCCACTGGTGATACCACTGAGTTGTATTGTAACATCTGGCATTTTTATGCTCAGTCTTAAATTTAGTTCTTGTTTTTAGATGATATTTTTAACGTGTCACACTTTCATTATGCAGTTTCTGTGTTTGATAGTATCCTACGTAGGCTGCTTGTCATCTATTGTGTGCGTGTGTCTATCTATCTATGTGCCTAGCCCTCAACAAACGTTTTGCCTTCTTTTGTCCTTTATATTTAGGCAGCGATTCATCCCATTCTCTAAAATACTCTGACAAATGCCTCTGCTAGAAACTCAGAAGTGTTGCCATCATACAAACAAAACACAAAGCAGCCATCTGCCCTATTGACAGCGATGGTCCTGAGGCACGATTCCCTGCTGGGCGCTGAGATCGCAACCATGTTGCTCCTTGACCATTCAGACCCCCAGTCTGTGCATCCTTCAACAAGCAAGAGCCCTGCAGTATGTCACTGAGTCCTGGCTCTCATCCAAAGAGGTGACCCTGCCTCTCCAAGGATGCAACACACAAAGCTGTGCCCCCCTACACACACCACAAACAGAGACAAAGGTCAAGTAGACAAACAGGGTCTGTGATAATAAACGCTTTTGCAAGCTCAAAGTAAACCCATACCACCTAACCTTTTCTCTTCTGAACACAACTAGAATAGACTGAGTGGAAAGAACAGCTCATATGTGGTGCACAAAATCATTACCGGCTATATTTATCCATCTGTAAAACAAAAATTGCTCCAACAACCTGTAGAATAAGAGCCAGTCGCTGTTTGTCTGCCAAAGAGTCTATCCATCTGGTGATTGAACTATAAAAGAAGCACAAGCAGCTGTATGGACTCAAATGCTCACCAGGATCCACACTCTCACCACCTCAGCTCACTCCTTAAGTCAGGTGAGATGGGTGGCAACCCGTAACACGACTTGTCCTTTGTGATTTAGAACCTCTGAGTTCGCAGACGGAAACAATGAACCAGTCAGAAGAAAGATATTGTTTTGTCTAAAATGGTTTACACAGGAAGAGCGGAAAGGTGGGAGATGAGTTGATGTCGAAGCCTAAAAAAAAGGTACAAAAGGTATGTGAGAAGGTGGGAAGAGGAAGACAAATTGTGTAGGTGAGAGACAGACTGCAATGTGAGAAGGGGCTCTAGGAGACAACGGCGTATGAAAAAAGGTGTGAGAGCATGATGTGGTAGGTGATGTGATGCACTGAGGAGACGTTGCTCTGGTTAGAGGACAGCAGGAGAGAGAGGAAATTCCTTGGAGGCTGCCGCTTTATATATGCCTCCTTGTTTATTAGTCTGAGGAACACAGAGTCTTCGCGTCTGTATTAAAAAGAAGCAAAGAGCACAGAAAAGCCTTACCTGTGCAATCGGTCCTCCAGTAGTTCAATATACTTGCTGGTGTTCTCTTTCAGGCGGCTTTCTGAGTGAGAAAAAAAAAGAACAAAGAGAACGACAGCACGTTACCTCTAATACTGTTAACACTGACGCATCAATAGCTATGATATACGTGTTAGAAAAGTTAGTTGTCATCACTTGGTGACGGCATTGTGCAGAGAAACTGCAACAGTACACTTCACTTTAGAGGAGCAGCTGGCTTTCTCTTAACACAAACACACAAATGAGGAGAGATCACTGCCTCTACTCTCAGAGGGGATAAAACTGTAGATGGCCCAAGGATAAAAGGGGATTTTATCATGGCATAGTTCTTTATATCTTGCCAGATTTTCTGTGGGGCATGAAGTTGGATGGATTGCTTATGTTGCTTCCTGTGCCCTTCTGCCAGCAGTGAGTTGTGCCTGAGGAGGCTGGTTGAGCAGTAGTCAGGATGGAGAGGAGGACTGAGCTGCGTTAATGAGCTCATGTATGAAACATGAGAATATGCCCTGCCCATAGGAGCTTCCAATCCTTGAGCACAATAGGAATAGGAAACATAGATGCTATCTATATATATCTATAGACAGATAGACCCGAGTTATAACATACAATCCAAACTTTCCTCAGTAAAACATAGCTATTCCTATACATTTGTACATTCTCAACAATCCATTGGAACCAGGGAGCACTGGTTCCCACCTTGGAGTCAAAGGATCACAGACACTGCAAGACAATAATAATGAGGCTACTCTAAGTGGAAACTATTGTCTAGAAAAATAGTAAAATACTGAATACAGAACAGATGGTGTAAAATTTTCATCTAACATTTGGTAAAAAACAATTTTTTTAAAATGAGTACGATTATATTTTACATGAGTGCATACTCCTACTTAAAATACAAACTTTAATGAAGAACTAGGAAAGCCAAAAACAATTGGGAAACTGTTATGTTTTGTGATGCCGCTTAGGCTGCTCACACAGAGACAAAGTCTGCGGATTGAAATACAATTTGCATCATTGTCTTGATGGTGGTTAATAGACAGCATCAGCTTGGGGGTGACATATTCTCGGGGCCAGGCACAGCAGGAAGAAAAGGAAAATGTCAGCGACAGTAGCGTGACAAACACTTTCCACACTCTTGCACACACACACACACACACACACACACACACTCCTGTCTGTACTTGAAGGAAGAGCTGAGATGGAGCTAGTTGGGTTATTTATGGGGGCTTGAATGTGGGAGTCACAGGAAGGGATGTTACTCGTTTCAGTCAAAGTGGCCAAATCTGTGCAATCAGAGGCCGCTGGAGAAGCTATCACATATCTGCTGTATGTGGACCAGACAGCTCACTTACCAACCCTCTAATTGCCACGTGAGATCTTATCCTACCTGATAGAGCTTCCCCTATCAACTTCCATTCACGCTGGCTCTGTTAAGCAGCTTGCAAGCAGATAGCCGCTGAATAATACATGGAGGGCATTAAGCCTGACTTTAGCTGGCAGAGAGCGAGTTGCCAAACTGAGCTACAGCTTGAACAACAGCAAGACGGATAGAAACAGATGAAGGTGGGAGATTGACACACAAGTGCATTAACTGTTTACTTAATATTTCTTGCCATGCTATACACAGAGGAGAGTGCGCCGTCCTGTCGCCATGCCAACCAGTGGTAAAACTACGGCGGTTTTTCAGGCGTGACAGATAAAAATAATCTTTTTTTTATAGAATGGGACGAGAAATCAAGCGGCAGAGCCTCCTCCTGCGCAGAGTGGAACCAGAGCACTGGGTGATATTACCACTTCCTGTAAGACTGCGGGAGGCTGCTGTCATGGGCAGGCAATGCGAATAAAATCGGCACTAAAAAGCCCATAAAGAAGACAGTCGCTCTGTTACTCCCTGATGCGTGCCGTGGCATATTTGGTGTTGAAGGAACTTCACAAAGGCGTTCACAGAGCCCACATCGGAAATTCATGAGCTCAGACTCCCTTCACACTAGTGATCTCAGCAGGCATTAAACATCACTGATTGCTGTCAAGGACCCCGGCCAAAATCGAAAAGGCCATTCATTCATAACGCAAGCAGAACTGAGACACCATTGAAGGATGTGGAGAATGGGTTACTGGGTGCTGCGACAATGTCATTTGCTTTATATATGAATCAGAATTTGTTAGACTAATCGAAGCTAAATTGCTTCAGCTAAATAGCTCTAACACTCTAAGACAGAAAAAGACGAGTCTGATGGTTACAAACTCTGATGTGACAGACAAACCTATGAAGCAGGATGTCACAACTGTAGCAGAGTTTACAAAGACAAAGTTTCTGTCAGTGTGTCCTGATAAGGGACCCAAAGAGCAGAATGAGCTCAGGAAACGCAAAAAAAGACTTTTTATTTAGGTGGAGCACATAATCCAAGACAGCAGCAGAGAAAATGGCCTGGTAAAACAAACAGACACAGACCAGAAAACACAAGAGGAAGTCCGCATGGGATGATCTGATATCCTCGTGTCGGTGTTGTTCCTACATCATCATAATAAACGTTGTTCCAGGTTCAACATTGCAAGTGACCAATCACATTGTTGTAACGTCCCCCTTTTGTGCCTTTGAAAAACACCGCCTTAAAAAAACCTACTTCACTTGTGAGAAGAGAAACCGCTTCTGTCCGCCGATCCAGGAACTTGAATTCTTTGCATTTCAGGATACTTTTCTTTAATAAATGGTAAGCATTATACATATTGTCCTTACAGAGGCGGTTTCTCTTCTCGCAAGTGAAGTAGATTTTTTGAAGGTGTTTGTTTTTTTCGAGGTCGCGGATGACATCAGGAGAAGGTGATTGGTCACTTGTAATGTTGAACCTGGAACAACATTATTTATGCTGACGAGGGAACAACACCAACAGGAGGATATCAGATCGTCCAACAGCATGACACAACAGAGAACTAAAACAAACTGAGGCTTTAAATAGACACACGGAAATCAGGAAGATCGGAAACGCCAGGGTGACAAGACACAGCTGAAACTAGTCAGAGACTAATGAAACAGGATAAAACTAAATACAATGCACACGAATAAGAGATGAAAAAAGTAAAACAGGACATCACCAAACAGAGATGGAGACTTATCCAGAGAGGAAAAACTGAAACTCCAGGAGTCACCTATAAACCATGTCCATAAATATTAACAATAACTAGGCTACAAAATATGATGAAAATAAAACTAAGAAAAGCTAAGAATAGAAACATGGTGAAACCAAAAGTCAAGCAGAGAATATTCAATAATAGACAGAACTTAAAATTTCAAAACTCAATCACAGTTATGGGTTTTACAGAAAAAAGTTAATATAGGCAAGGTGTTTTCAGTGCCTCCTGCATCACGAGCATTCAAAGAGCTCTCCAACTCTAAGTGAATAATGCGGTCATTTCTTCAGCGCCTTAACAACAAAAGCACCCAAACGTCTGTGAGGCCTTCTTGTTGTCAAACAAATTAGAGGCGGCTCTGCACTAACAGAGCACCGGTGACATGCTTGCTATAAAAGCCTGTGCAATAATAAGGCAGAAGACAAAACTGTGTGTCTGTAATTGAGCTGAAGGCACTGACTGTGATGAATGTGTTTAAGCTTGGCTAGGTCTGTCTGAGTGTGACAGCGCTGCAGGTAAAACACAAACACGCAGTAGGCATATGGAGCCACTCCCACCACATATACCTGAACCTAACAGCAGCAGAGCTGACGGAGGGACAGCCTGATATAGGACAGACGCTCAATCACCCATGATGCTCTAGCTGTAGCTTGCATAGATTGCAGCTGGCATAGCGGCGCATATTGTTGGGTTGTGCTTGAATGCACAACAAAAAGAATCACTTGACAAGTAATTGGCTGTGTGCAAAACTGTAGTTGGGTTGTGTTTTGGTCTTTTTTAAGTGATGGGTGCTAAACTGCTCAGCTGAAATCTTAAGAAATGCTCACTGTCATTGTATGTCAGTAAATAGAAACTGTTTAGAAGAGGCTCTAAACTATATTTCTACTGAAGCAAGCTGCAAATATATTTTTTGTTTTTGACAACTGAATCCAAGAAGCAACATTCCTCGGCAATGAGGAAGTCTCCCAAAAAAGTGCAGAGCACTCTCAACGCTTCACCAGCTCAACAATCCCGCCCCATTAAACATGCATCCTATTATTCCCCGGGTTTCCTCTTGGAACTCCGGGTTAGTACATTTTCACTAAAATGCATCTTCCCCCCCCCATCATCTCCCACTTGTATATGCGAGCAATATATCATCTTACTCTGGTGTTTTCGTTTAGCTGCAAATTTGTGGCTCATGAGATAAATATACTTAGAAACTCCAGTCGTTTTAGGGGAAGTTAAAAATACAATATTACAGAAATACCAAGTAATTCCACAAGATGGAAAGTCGGCTGCTTTCAGTGTGAGCCAGTGTGGTGGACTGACAGTCTGGCGTTACATCCCAAACCAAACAGCTGCAACATTTTTTGAGCTTTACCGTGTTTGCAGTGCACGTAGAAGAGAAGGAAGGCACAGTAGGGATATAAAACATTTGTTTCAGCGGTATGTAATTGAAGAAAAGACCTGATTGATTGATTGACGGAGCCTGATTGGAGTGGTACCTCAGTCAATTGTGTTTTTGCAGTAATTCTTTCAATGATAAATTCATAATGGAATGACAGGAAGAAAAAAAATACTCAATATTGCTGAAACTTCAGAGACAAAGACCAAAAAACATCCTCCCCCCCCCAGGTCCACTTAACCACCGTGCCGCTCTCAATCACTCAGATGCTCTTCAGAGAAGAGCTGTCACACATTCCATCATGTTCTCAACAGAAGCACCCTAAAAGAGCCAGAGCTATGAATAAATCATATGTGTCCTCGCCTTTACTGTAAGAGAAAATTGCATTTGTCTAATAACACAGAGTGACTTGTATTGATGTGCACTTAAATCCGACTAGCACCGCAGAGTTGGGTTCGAACTGACTGGCTTTAAACTACGGCACGAGCAACAGGAGCTGTATGGAGAAACAATAGCTGGTACAGTAA